CCTTGGCAGGTCAGATTTCTGAGAAGCTCCCTTCCGTAGACTCAAGAGACACCCATAATTCCATCTGCATGGCACCATTTGTCATATAAAGTAATATTATCAAAGCAGTCATGTTACTTTGTTTTCACAATTCCATCCTACACTCAAGGGGAAGTTTATGTTCCTAGAAGGATGCAGGTCACTGAAAGCATAGAATTTTGCTCAACACATTAAAGTAAATGCTGGTTAGCTGGAAAAACAATTCTAAGATTTTGTTATAGGGAATACTCAAACCGCAAACTACTGGAAAGAGTTAAATGTCAGCTCTTAGGGAACTGAGAGATTTAAGGAGGCAGTACATACTTTTTCACACTTCCTTGCTATCTAGAGATTAAAGGCTGCAGAGAAACACCTGTGGTTTTGGATGCAGAGCTGCCCAAAGGCAACAAAGTTATGTCTGAGTCAGCTCATGGAGGGGAAAATCCTCAACACTAGAGGAAATTAGGATTGTTCCATACTATCGATTAAAGCTTAATTTTAAAAAAGTCTCACCATAGCCTTCAGGTTAAATTTTAAATCTCTTAGCCTAGAATAAAAAAGTCTTCCATAGCGTATCTGGGGCCTACCTCCTTGCTTTACTTTCATACCTGTATCACACATAAAGTTTCACAGTTACTGCAGTCACATGCTCTTGCTGTGCATAGTCAGAAGAAACGTCTTTTTTCACAAGGCTCAACCACCTACTTTATGCCCAGCCCATATGACAAATTCCACCATTGAGATACATTCATTCAGTAAGCAGATATTTACTGAGTGCCAGGATGCATGAATAAACAGTTGTACCCTCACCTTTCTCACAAAGCAAAGCCACTTTCTGTTTCTTTTGTATAAGAACTGTATCTAGTTTCTACACTTGTGCCTTTAGATCTTATGATTATGTGTTCATCTGCAAATTGTGAATGTGTTAAAAAACTATTTTGTTGTATTTATTTCATATTGGTAGTATATATTTGGAGTATATTTTATACACTATTCATTTTATATCTGTAATTTAATTTAGGGATTGATACAATTCCCCATTCACCACTGTCTGACTGAGTAAAAATAATAAAACAGGTGATTTCTAAAATGCATTTAGTGATTCCTTGTACTTGACAACACTTTTGGTTCATAGCATTCTGAGACAAGCATTATTATCCTCATTTAGCAGATGAGAGATAAAAGCTCAGAGGAATATTTTTGTAGATTATTGATATTCCTCTTTTCATGTTCGCTATACCAATTTAGTTCTCAAAGAGAATTATCAGTATTACTCATACACTTAACAGAAGACTACACATTCATATTTTAAGGTCCACCTAAGACCTATGCAGCCAGAAAATCTAAAAAGAAAATAACCTACATGTGATAAATAATGCCTGTTAATGTATGAAAACCACTGCCTTATAATCTGAGGTTGAAATTTTCTATAGAAGATGACACACTAATTTCTCATTCTTTATGGCTGAGTAGTTCATGGGAAAATTGATGCATATGAGGATATACTCTTAAGTGAAATAAATAATTCACACATGTATAAATACCAAACAATTTCTTTGGTGTGAAAACCTAAAAGAGTAAATAAGATCCAAATGGTGTAATTGACAATGTGAAATAGGAAGAAAGGGGCTAAAGGTGTAGGGAAGGTGGGAAGGGTAGGGTAAAGGTAATAAGGGGAAGAAATAATATGAGAAAATGAAAAAATGGAAATAAGGTGTTTGTAAATGGGGCAAGGAGGAGGGGGTGAAGGGAGGGCAAGGGTATGGGGAAAAATGAGAACTAAGACCTGGCATGTAAAGGCACAAGATCCAAATGATGAATGCAACTGTACTATATACCTAAAATGTAGCAATAAACTCAATAAGAAAAAAATAAAATTAAAAAAAGATGAGACAACAACAAAATAAAAACAAAAACACCAATTGTGATCAAGTGGTATTTGTTCATCTAGAAGATTGGAAATAAAATTCAAATACCAGGTAGTAATGGATAAAAGATGAAAACATGTACAGATGTTCTTCTATAAATAAAATATCCTGCATGATTTTACTTAATAATCTCAAGGGCATTTTAGACTCTCCAGAAAAAAAATTTGATTTATTAATTTGGATCTTCAAATATAGATTATTGTATGTTTAGTTTTTTGTGGGTTTTTATGTTTGTTTTGTTTTGTCTTGGGGGGATGATGATGATGATGATGGTGATGATGATTGTTATTATTATTTTTGGTACTGGGGATCAAACTTGTGCCCTTGCACTTGCGAGGCAGGAGGCAGAACCACTGAGCCAAATCCCCCGCCCTGGATGTTTGTATATTGTGAAATATGGAGGTATTTTAACCATTTTTATAATGAGATGAATTTAATTGAATTTTACTGACCTCACATTTTGCCTTTGTTTTCTACTAGGAGCTATCTTTTTATCATAGTGTCAAGGGATATTATAGTAAAAATAGTCCAATTATACTAGAAAGTTAAATTTTCATCTCTGAGAAGACAAGAATGAGCAAGATAAGGATGGAGCAGCCTGTCGGTGAGAAATGTTTATTACAGAGACTGTAAAATGAAATTTCTGTTAGCATATCCATGGGCAACAAGCATAATGAATGCTCATGCTGTGCAGACTATTGCATTTACTTTCTTCATGCATATTCCAATAAAAATAAAGTTTATATCACTTAAGAAGTTCACCATCTGGGTTGGACAACTTTGTAAACATGCAAAAGAGTTATAAACAGAGAAAAAGCTTTTTAAATAGAATGATAATAAATGCTCTCTAAATAAGCACTGTCATGGTTTGTGTCTAGATGGCCGCTCAAAGCCTCAAGTGGGACTCCTAGATACAAATCATAAGAGCCATGCACTGGAGAACATAACATCAAAAAAAAAAAGGAGGCTTCATGATTGCCGAATAGAGGATAGAATCACATGTTGGTTTTGTATGTTTTTAGTCTCAACTTTTGTCATGGTCATAATTCAGATGACATTAAAGGACAGTGTTTATAAAATCAAATTTCCCACAGTTTTACAAAAAAGCAACCCCCAAAAAAACAAATAAGCAAACAAACAGAAACTTTCTTCTCACCTGCAATGTATGATAAATGTATCTGGCATTGAAAACATATGCCAAATTTGTAATCAATTAAGCACTTTTATACAAATTTTAGTACAGCAAGGGTTTCTCATGAGGTTGTAATGTTAAAAAAAATCAATCAATACTAATGAAGTACTTAAAATGTTAGAGCCTATAACTTCCTTGAGGATACAAAAGAGAAAAACCCGTGGGACACAAATAAAATGTTAAGAAATTGAGAACAAATTATGTCAGAATTAAGGAAGAGATGCATGTAAGTTATAAAACAATTCACTGCATTGACTTTTATGTATTTTTAAAAAGTTTATTCTATCATAAACCAAGATTTTCATCGGAAAATATACAGGGAGTGTTTAAAATGTCACTACCTAGAGAATTCTCTTAAGCTAAAGAAAGCAGATTTTTAAAATACCCTGCAGTTTAAAGCTTTCCGTTGCAAATACTTAAGGGGAAAAGTGATTGGAACAGATTTTTGTCATAAGATAACTTAGGAAGCAGGATGGAGGGTCTATTTGGGGAAGAAGATCTAAGTAATTCCAAAAAATGCTGTAACAAACATATCCAGAATGGATGCCATTGAACCCTGTCAGAATGTAAGAATCCACTTATGTGGCTACTTAAAAGTTTATTTTGGCAGAGTAAAGCATTCAGATTGTGTCTCTTGGTCTTGTATTTCTCAAAACTTAAGACACATTTAATAGTTCAAACACAAAAACAGTGATTAGAGTGAAATTATTGATAATATCCAAGGTTTGGAATAAATATACAGAGAAGAATCAAAATAGAATTTGTAAAGTAATTATATGGATTACAATCCTATGATTTATCAGTAATTTACGCAATTCTATATGCTTGATCTGCATATTCATTAATAAGAATTAATCTAATTAAGGTATTCGAATTACAAGTTAAAATAGTAAGAATTTTTAGCATAAACTTGTCTCATAGAAGATTATTTTCAAGGGTTAGGGATTTAGCTCAGTGGATCCACTGCCTGCTTTGTAAGTGCAAGGTCCCAAGTTCAATCCCCAGTACGAAAAAAAAAAAAAAATCATGTTCACCATAACAGTATGTCATATGCAAGTTATTTTAGTGATCATCATAAATGGTTCTTATGCCTGGATGTTAATATATGTCCAATATCAGATTCAAAATATCTGTGTATAGTTTTAAAATATTTTAATCAAACTCATACTATCCATTTGTTATGTCAACTTATTCACTCCCTTAATAAATCTGTGTATGTGTTCGTGTGTATGTACTTGTTCAGAGAGAGAGACAGAGAGAGAGAGAAAGAGAGAGAGAGAGAGGGAGAAAAACAGAGAGGAGAGGGAGAAAGGAAGGGAGAGAGAAGCTTAAATTTGGATGTAGGAAACACTTTATTTTGCATTTTTACTGAGACAAGCAATTATTTTTTGTTCTATGCAAATTTCTAGAAATTAAGCTTACTGATGTTTACCTTCTTTTATTTTCAGAACTTTGTAATTCCAGAAATCGACAAGATGAAAAAATAATTCATTCAATTTCCCTGATTATAATTTAATTGTTATATATGAGTTCTAAAACAATTACATCTAATATGAATCCTTGCTTACTATTTTCAAGCATGAATCTGTGCATTTTTCATATATGAACTCATTTCCCCAACATAACTATGAGGTATATAATTGTTTTAGCCTGTTTTACATATGGAAAAAGTAAGGCATGTAGAGATTTACATTCATATATCTAGTGAAATTACCTCAACTAATAAATGGGTACATTTATCTTAAATTGAATTTAATCTGGAAATAATTATGTCATTTAAAGTATGTAAAATACATTATTTAAACATGCTTAAATAGTTTTTGTGTGTTCATTTTGATTTAGAGACTTTTTCCTATTCTCACCTTTGATTTCTTTATCATTTTTGAACCATCTTATATCAGCAGCAGGCTTACTACCAGATGTTTTGCAAGTCAGCTGCATCAAGTCTCCTTCCATCACTGGTGATGAAAATCCACTAATTTGTGGCTTCTCGGGAACACCTGAAATTTAAGCAAATGCATGAACTAAATATTGATAGAAACTACTGTATTTTAGAATAAACTTTAAGGTATGTGCGTATGGTTTTCAAAATGTTTCTAATACACATTTAGTTTAAAGTAGTTTTTAAAATTGGATTGTAGAAATTTAATCTGCAAAAATACTATATTATGAAAATCTTGAAAACAACCACTCAGTGTATGTTGTTTTTCTAGTATAGGAATTTAAGAAGATAGATTATATTGAGGGAAACAAATATAGAAAAAACATTTTTTTCTTAACAAATTAACTAAATTTAACTAAAACAGCACCTTTCTTTCCTTATTTTGTAACTTTTAAAGCTCAAAAAGTTCTATTATGGCCTATGTACTTTTTTCAAGAAAATTAATTTTAGAATAAGAGACTGATCAATAAACACAACTATATTATTGGCCTTTCTCATTCTTCTAAAATGGAGAATGGTTCTGGATGTCATTTATAGAAGAAATGCAATTGTAGTTTTGGGAAGCATGATGTAGACTCTTTTTATTCCTGGTTTCACTACCTTTTCTTGCTCAGATAATCACAAGCAGAAGTCTAATATAAAGAGCTAGGACATGGATTATTTAAAAAATAGAACTTAACACATTTCCTGGACCATATTATTCAGTTGTCATAGCTGCGGCTTATTATGGTTTCATACAAAATTATTCAATAATAAAGACGGACTAATACCTTCCTTGTATTACTTAATCAGTTTTGAGAATATTAAATGCAAGAATGTTGGGAAGCACCAATGTGAGAAATACGATGTAATACAACAAGAACAACAAATATAAATGATAAACCAACATGCTTCCATTAACAAGCTAGTTGGGGGCTTTGTCTTCTTTATATCCCTGTGCTCTTAAAAAAACTGTGTCATACCTTTATTTTATAAACCAAATTCAGGAAATATCTATTCTTTGAATTTCAAGTTGGTTTTCTACCCAAAAATGTGTTAATCCTAGGCAGTTTTATTCCTAAAATATTTCATTGTAGTGAGTATATTTTGTCCTTAATGACAAACTTGTGAAGATTTTCATAAAATAGTCCCCCTGTGACTTGCCACAAAAACGATTTCATATCCTAAGCACAAAACCAATTCACTGGCTGGATTAGCTTTACTATTCCTGCCCAAAAGAATAATGTGCATCGGTCCTTTCAAATAGAACATTGTACTTGTATCTTAAAAAGGAAAGCAAGCTAGGGGCACCAAAAAAAAAAAAATCAATCTTTAAATTCCTCTAACTTGTTCAGCACACAGGTGTGTTTCAATGAACTGCAGCAATTTCCGCTGATTGGGGCACTGACGTCTGTGGAATCACAGAGAGCTCCAAGCTGCAACTTTATTTCCTCAGAATCTCTATGAATGTATTGCTTTTTCATGTCACTTTAACCTTTTAGAAAATGGCCCAATACTTAGAGAATAAAAGCGCAAAGAAGCTACAAGCTGCATGCACAAGTGACTTGATGTACTTCAGTTAGAAATCCAGAAAATACAAATTTGGAGAGGAAAAAAAAAAAGACACATGAAAATGTCATGGTCACTGAAATGCACTAAATTACACATTCGGGTCACTTTTGAAAGCCACAAGTTATTAGGATGGCCCCTATCAGGTGATTTAAGTGATAAAATGAAGCAGCAAAAGATATCTCACTATGTTCTTTCTTCTGTCACTCAATAAAAGAATCAGAATGCACACAGTATATAGATGATTTCACAGAAAGAAATTTAACTGGAAATTAAGAAAGCAGGTGTCTCTTGCTGGCTATGTGCCTTGCAGAGATCATGTAAATGTTTGTCCATTAATACAGTGAAGAGTGGCACCAAATTATTTTTAAATGTCTTTTAGTATAGTGTAGCAAACAAACTAAATCACAGTTTATCTTTTAATACAACTTTCAGAATATCTTTTCTTCTGGAATTGTGTTGCTATGGCTGTATGATCGCTCTAGTTTGTGATTCCACGATGTTAGCCCCTTGCACTTACCCAGAACAGTGAGATAGGCCTTCGAAGTTTTGACAGGCATTGTAAATAAGGAACAAGTGTACTGTCCTTCATCAGAGAGAGACACATCACTGACACTGATGCTCAGTTCATGCCAGGAAGCACGGACTAGCTCGATCCTATTGTCCCTTAAGGCTGGAAAGAGAAAATATTAAAAATATGAATAACAACAACAGAAATAGTCAACACATTTAGACTATTGATTTTAACATGATAAAATAAACATTTTATTTGACCATGCATCTATATCTTGATTTCTGAAACTGCTAAAGAATGTTTAAATGTAATGACATATTTTATCAGATTTTTAAAAATCACAATAGAATTAAGTATCCCTTAATGTTCTCAGAAATAAATTTTTAATTAAATGATTATATCTGGCACAGTAATTTGGATGAGTTGGGGACTGTGATAATAAAAATAGCTTTTCTTCAGAAAATCTTTCACTCAATGCTAATGCCAAAAAAGCCTAAAACAACATGGGCTCATGTCTGAGGGCAGATAAATTTGAAAAATATGACTGCTATAAGTTTTCCAAGACAACAACAAAAAATAGTCACATATTAAAAATCTTTTCCATAGTAATTCTTGAACTATATTTAAACCAGACTTCACACTTAACTGAAAAGTGTGTGTAAGCGACTTGATTTTTAAATTTACACTGACTGATTAGTATACTATGGGTTTGTATGATCTTTGGTGCAAATCATTTTCTGACTTAGAACACTTGATTCATAGAATATTGTTAAGACCCTTGCAGAATTATGAATCTCTTGATTCATTTTACAGGAGAAATAAAAGAATTCTAACTATCATAAAGTGCTTCATTAAGTACAGCTATTAAATCTAGAATTAAGCAAGAGACAACTAAGGATACTTTGAAAGAAGAAGGAGGAGTTGTTAGGAACATCATGACTGAGGACCACCACAGAGGGTAAAACCAACAGTGAAAGATGAGTTAGGCTCAGATTCCCCAACCGATACCTAGAAAAACAAGTTGGCCCCAATAAATGCATTTCTACTGCTTATTGAATGGGAGTCCGCCAGCAACACCGAGAGAGAGAGAGAGAGAGAGAGAGAGAGAGAGAGAGAGAGAG